GTAATTAAATGAAAACCAAACGAATTTAAGTAAGTTTTTATTTAGTAATAATATCAAATAATGTAATAACTACTACTTGGTTTAATCAACTAAAAGTTTAATAATTGTGCAAATATTTTCATAACCTTTTAAAAAACATTTTCTATGTTAAGTCTACGTCTATACGTTTTTTTCTTACTATTGAAATACCCTATAGGTATTTTTTCATAAAGTCGATGAAAAGTCAAGTTTTATAAAGTATATGAAAAGTCAATAAATGAAAATAAAACTTAGCATTAGGAGAAATTGCGCTAATCGTTTATTACTCCGTTTTTGAGTTAGATTTTTCATCATAATAGAGTTATTATTATTATTTCTCATAAGTATATTTTTATTTTTAGATATTATTTTAAATAAAGATTTATAATAATAAAAAAATTATGACTTTTAACTTTAGTAAAAGACAGGCCGAAATTTTTACTTTACTTATTTTACCATATTTAGTTCTGAATAATTGACAAAAACAATTAGACAATTAGATAATTAGACAATGAACAATAATCAGGTAAAACACCTACTGAAAAGTCTGTACTTCGTTCTATTTTCAAGTTTGAAAATGAAAAACATTTGATCAATATTTCTGAAAATTTTAAAAAACTTTTAAATTCAGTATCTAGAATAATGAATATTTTTTTATTTTATTTTAGAAATAAGCTTTTAGCCTGAATATTAACTACGTATACATAAAATCAATTTTAGAAGAGATTTTTAATAGATTTAGAAGAGGTCACAATAAAAAGTTTGTATTTTTGTCTGATTCCCACTGAAAGTTTCTCCTTAAAGCATTAGGCAGATTTGGGTAATATGAGCATGCCAAAAGATTTCTAAGATCAGTAAATTTAAAGTTGCTATGTATTTTTTGAATAAACTTTATGTGGTGATAACAATTTTATAATAATAGTGATAATAATTTATTGCGTTGTTAAAATATTATCATTACATATTGTTGTGAAACCGTAATAATTAATTTTATATTAAATATTTTCGGCTTTTATCAAATATTAAATCAAACATAATTCAAGATCTACAAAACAGATTTTATAACACATCAATTAAATATAATTAGGATCATTTAACCGTATTTTATAATGACGTGATTGACGTCAATTATTTAGTTCAAATACATAGTTCTTAAGAATATAACTTAACTTATAACTAAGAATATTACTTAACAGTCTTCTCCGTTTTAAGAAAGTTTTAGTACGGCTTACTCTTGGATAATACTCTAAGAAAGAAAGTAGTCGTCGAGATACTTTGCCCTTTTAATAGTACGTCTTGTTCGTGAGATTATATTAGGTTGTGTGTCAGGAGTAATAACCTTTTGAATAGATGGTTGGTTAGGTACTGTTGTAGTTGATTGATCATAAGAGAAGCTATCTTTTATTGGATTCCCAAACGGATGCAGTAGGTTCGAAACTACTTCGTTGGTATCATTTAATTCAAGTTGTTTTTTATTTCCAGAATTGTGGTTGTTGTTACTAATGACAATTTCGTCATTGTTCGAGCATTCGGACTGTTGTCGGACTGGTTCTATTAAGGGATTTTTATCTTGTAGTGGGGCAAGATCTTTTGTTGAAACTGTATCAATTTTTCCAATTTAATGTTTCACGCGTGCGAAATGAGGCGATATTGTTTCTAATAGTTCAACTCTGTCAACAAGTGGGTCTTCCTTTAATCGTATCTGACGTCTGTATAAAATTGTCAAATCCTGCTCTGTTAAGAAGTTTGGTAGAACTGTACCTATTATTGATGAACGCTGAAAGTTCATCATCCTCTGATGAGGTGTCTTGTTTGTAGCAGTACACAGAAGTCCTATTATAGAGGATAGAGCCATTTCCAATGCTACCTCCCATCTATCCATATCACCAGACTCAATGTTTTCAGGGCCAGACTAACAGCTTTAAGTATTGTTCCATTCATTCTTTCACATTGACCGTTGCCTTGTGGGTGATATGGAGTAGTTTGAGTTCGGATGATACCGTTTCTTTCTAGGAAAACCTTAAGTGACATACTTTCAAACTGTGTTCCTCGATCTGTATGCATAGATGATGGTGCACCAAATAATGAAAAAAGACTGAGAAGGTGTTGTATCACAGTGTTGGCTGTTATATCTTTACAAGGGAATGCAAATGGGTAGCGAGAATATTTGTTAACTATCACGTGGATGTATTTATTAGCTGAGGTGGGTTGTAAAGGTCCAACAAAGTCCATAGATAAGCGTTCCCAAGGTCTCGTAGCCTGATTAAGACGACCAACTGGAGGTTTGTAGAAGCGCGGTTTGAATTTGTTACAGGTTGTACATTGGCTTGTTAGTTGTTTAATTTCGGTGGTAGAGTAAGGTAGATTTCGGGTTTTGCAATAATGTATCATTTTTTTAATTCCAGGATGACATAGTTGGGAGTGAATATTGTAAAATATTTTATTGGTGTTTTGAATTGAGCAACATTGAGAAAGGGCATCG